GGTTCAAAGAGGGAGCGCCCTCCCTCCGTGTGTCTGTTTACAGTCTTACCCTTGTGGTGCTAAACTTTGAGAAGGCCTGGGGCAAGAGTCTCAGTTCGGAAAGGAGCCGCCCTCTATCCGTGTGCCTGCTGTACAACTTCAAACTACTGCCACTAGCATGTGATGAAGTCTCAGGCGAGAGCCCCGTTTTGAAAACGGCCCCTCCTGTATCCGTGTACCAATCAGAAATATGTAGGATGAGCGTGCCCGGCGCCAAGTTGAGCCAGTCGTGAAAGCGACACGTCCTCCGTTCGTGTAATTTCGGCGTTGCCCCAACATACTAATACTATGTGTACGTCGCCCCCCAGAGGCGACGCGTGTACTGAGAAATCTGATAGTATATGAGTGGTGGCGGGCGCTTTCTGGCCACACCGCTCGGGAAACGATCTACTACAAGATGGGTATACGATATGTTCGGGTCAGACTCGCGCCTCCAAGGAGGACATGTAGTACTAGTAAGTCTCTGTGCGTCCCAGAACCGTTGGACAACTTCCCAGGCTGCAGTGTCCTGGGGCTGGCACAAGGGTGTGAAGTTGGTCGTGCTTTGCGCTTCGCGGCCTGGGCGCTTCGAGAGCGAGGCGCGAGTCCCTCATCCTGTTCTAGGGGGGGGCGCGGAGCGAAAGCGCGCAGATGAAATGCGCTTCGCGCTTCGCGGAGCGCGAAGCGCGAAGATCGTTGCCCCCGCCAGGAACAAACCGGGCTGCAGTATCGTAGACGGTGAGAACTCATGGCGCCAACATCGCAGAGCGGATCTGGGCCTGGAGTGTCCTGGAGAATTCCGTTCCGGATTTCGAAGTGAATGTCGTGCGGATTTGTTTCGGCGAGGAGTGAAGACTACAACACATCCACGTGAAGTCCGCGTCGTTTTTCGCTCGCCGCTTCGGGGCCTTGCCTCGACCGAAGCCCACGAGCAGCTCCGCCGCAGCACGTCTGCAAGGTCGGTGCAGCGAAGAGAACGCCTCAGGCGAAACGCCCAGCCGCCGGCTGGTTCCCGCGGCCGCCTCCCGTGCGCCGCGCGGGCGGCTCCTGGCGGGCTGCAGGGGGGCCCAGAGGCGCCTCTCCGGAGGGCAAGGCCGATTCGGCTTCGCCGTCGGTCCCGCTGGTGTCCGGCTGTGCTGTCGCCGTGGACGGCCTGTGGAGTCAGGGGCGGAGGAGGCGGAGGGAGGGAGGGGAGGGGAGGGGAGGGGAAAGAGGGAGGGGGAGGGAGAGAGGAGGAGGAGGAGGAGGAGGAGCAGGACGAGCAGGAGGAGGAGGAGGAGGAGGAGGAGGAGGAGGAGGGAGGAGGAGGAGGAGGAGGAGGGAGGAGGAGGAGGAGGAGGAGAAGGAGGAGGAGGAGGAGGAGGGGGAGGGGGGAGGGGGAGGGGGAGGGGGGAGGGGGAGGGGGAGGGGGAGGGGGAGGGGGAGGGGGAGGGGGAGGGGAGGGGGGAGGGGAGGGGAGGGAGGGGGAGGGGAGGGGAGGGAAGGGGAGGGGAGGGAGGAGGAGGAGGAGGAGCAGGGAGGGAGGGAGGGGAGGAGCGGCGCCCGATGCCGCGGTTCGAGGAGGCTCGTCGAGGCAGCCCCAGAGGGCCACCAGAGCACCCGCGACGGCGGGCCTCTGCAGCCCGCGGCCCGAGCGTCCGGGCCTCGCGCACCCCGTCGGCGCCCCGAAGGAGGATGGGGGCCCCGAGGGATGGGGCTCCGAGGGATGGGGGCCCCGAGGGATGGGGGCCCCGAGGGATGGGGGCCGCCGTCGCCTCGCGCACCCCGCCGTCGCCTCGCGCACCCCGTCGGCGCCTCGAGGGATGGGGGCCCCGAGGGATGGGGCTCCGAGGGATGGGGGCCCCGAGGGATGGGGCCCTGTCAGGGGCAGCGATCGGGGGGGTCAGGCACAGGGGGGGACGGCCCTGTCAGGGGCAACGATGGGGGGCATGGGGGGGGGGGGGCCTTGTCAGGGGCAACGGTAAAGGGGGGGGGGGTCAGGCATAAAGGGGGGGGTGCGTCGACCCCCGACCGCTCATGGATCCCCGCCCAGGACCGTGCGGGTTCGCCATCGGAGGCCCATCGCCGATCTATCGGCGATGTATCGCCGATTCCAGGTCGATGTTCCCCCCCCTTTATGCCATGTCAGTCCCCCCTATCGTTGCCCCTCACCCTGGGGACAGGAAAGTGCTTCCAAGTTGAGCTCGCACTGCGCGACCTCTCCTCGGCTGTCGGTCAGGCAGCGCCGCTGCACCTTGCTGCAAGCTGCAGTGCTTTCCGGAAGTGCTCCCTTAATCGTTCCACGCGCGTGGGCCGCAAACGTTTGCGCAGCTCCTTCGGTGCGCTTCCTCAGCTGCTGCGCAGCTCCCAGGCAGCTCCTGGGCAGCGCTTCCCAGGCAGCTCCTGGGCACCACTTCCTAGGTTCGTGGGCAGCGCTTGGGCAGCTCCCAGGCAGCGCCTCCTGAGGCCCCTCGTCCCTGGCGCCCCGTCCCCAGGGCCCCAACCTGTGAGCCGCCGGTCCTCGGCCCTTCCTGCTGGGGCCGAGGGGCCTCGCGCAGTGCGAGCTCAAGGGTGGGGCCTGGAGAGGGCAGCTCCAGGGTCGGGCCGAGGGCCGGCGGCTCCAGGGGCGGGAGGGCCCAGCCCTCGGCCCCCCCGCGCGGGCCCCGAGGACAGCAGGCGGGCCTCCAGGCGAGGCACCTGCGCCGCGCGAGGCCCCCTCGTCCAGAGGGGGCCCTCCTCCCGCAGGGCCCCCGCCTTCGGAGCCGCCGGTCCTCGGCCTCCCTGCTCGCCCGGGGCCCCGAGGGCTGCGGCCCCCGAGGCTTGGTCGATGATCCTCAGGGCGTGTGTTCGCCCAAGCGTGTGTGTGCCCCGTTCGGCTCCGACGACAGCGAGCAGCCCGTGTCGATCCTCGTTGGGCCGCCTGCATCGTGCCCGAGGGCCTCGGAGGACAGACGCACGCTGTTGCCAGCACAGGCTCCGAGGAGCATCGGGAGATTGGGCTCCGAGGGGCAGGATGGGCCCCGAGGACTCGCACGGCGCGGCCTCTTCCTCGGCTTTCGGTCAGGCAGCGCCGCTGCGCCTGGGGCCCCTCCCTGCTTGCCCGGGGCCCGCGGCCCTGCGTCGCGCAGCCCCACTGGCGGCTTCCGGGCGGGCCCGCGGTGCGCCTCAGGGCATGCCTTGGGTCGTGCATGTCCTACAGGCGGATTTCGGAAGAAAGCCGAAAAATAGCCAAGAGAAGTGTTCAAACATGTAAAAGATTGTAGGATCCATCCTTTCGCGCATCCATCCCCCTCCCAAGACTGTCATCCCACGTCGCGATTTTTCCACAACGTGTTTTCCCACATGTCCGGACCCCTTCCTGGGGGCCGGCCGGCTTTTCATCCCGAGTGCTTTTTGACAGCCCTGGCGCCCGGTAAGGGCCCCCTCGGAGGCAGAAGATTGCCCAGCGCCTTCCGTTGCGATTTTTACACGACGCGAGGAGATCTGGGCCTTCGGGTCATAACTCGGGTCTCCAGCGGCCGTTCTAGGGCTCATATCGACTCCTCCGTCTCGTTTCGATTCGATTCGATTTCGATTCCGATTCCGATTCCGATTCGACTTGAGATCTGTTTCCGATTTGGATTTCACTTTCTCAATGGACGCTTTACCAGCCTGCCGATTTCGGCCGACCCGACTGCTCCCGACGAGGCTGCCGATTTCCGCCGATCCGATTCATTTCGATCCCCGATCCGACTTGCCGATTTGATTCTAGGATCGCCTGTCGTTCGGCACGATCTGTGCCTCCCTTGAGTGCTCTCGGCGAGGCGCAGCCGCAGGAGAGGACCCCAAGACTGGAAGACCCACAACTTGAGCCGAGGATCGCGCTTGACAACGTCCTCGAAGCCTCCGTCGGGGACGTTGGACGTCTGGGACCAGAGCAGCCGTATTGGCCCCACGGGGCCCATCAGTCCTCCGTCCTGCGCTCCATCCTCCCATGCATCGTGAGCGAAACACATATCCGTATACGCGGCCTCGCGTGCTGGGCCCCTGGGCCGCGACTTCGCGGACACGGAGCGTTTCTTCGCGGATGCCCCGCGCGGAACGCATGCGCGCGACCGCGTATCCGCGGGATCGCGCCCAGGAATCCAGACCGCGAGGGCGCGGATACGGATCTGTTCGCCGCTCGTGACTCTACTCCTTCCGTTCCTTCAGGCATCAGTTCTCCATCCCTCTGTCCGTCCCACCGTCCATCCTCCGCCCGTCCCTCCTCCATTCTTCCGCCCATGCCCCCACCTTCCGCACTGTCGTTTCTAGCGCTTCGCGCCGTCCGCCGCCCTCTCGTTTCTGTGCGTCGGGCCGCCTGGGACTCCAGGCTGGGCCTCCCTTCGCTGGGGAGGGTTGCTGCCTCACCCAGAGAATCCCCCCCTGGCCCCTCGAGGCGAGAGTCTTTCGCCAGGGCTGCGCGCAGACTGCTGCAGTGCCGAGTCCAACCGACCGTCCCTCCGTGCATCCGTCCTTCCCTCCTCCGTGCTGCGTCCGTCCATGGTCCATCCTCCATCCTCGGCAAATCCTCCACCCTCCGCCCATCCTCCCTCCCCCGTCCATCCTCCGCCCCTCCCTCCTCCATCCTCCGTCCGCCCCTCCGCCCGCTCCTCCTCCACCCTCCGCCCCTCCCTGGGCTGCAGTGCTGCCTCGTGCTGCACCCCCCACCCCCGGCTGATGGCCCCGTGACGGGCCCCCTCTGCGGAAAGCCGATCCGATCCGCTCCGATCCGCTCCTCGCCGCTTCCGCCCAGCGGCACGGGGCCGCGTCCTGCGACTAGCGTCTCCAATGGTCCCTCCCGTGGGCCGCGAGGGCGAGGGGGGGAGCGCGAGCGCGGGAGGGGGGGGGGGTCGGAGGGAGGGCGGGAGGCAAAGGAGAAAAGGTGCTAGAGGCGAGGACAAGAGGACGGAAGCAGGAGCGAGGAAAGAAGAGGAGGGGTAAACGCGTGCAGTTCAGGCCCCCCCTCTGTCCGTCCCGTCCTCAGGCCGCCTTGGCTCCAGCGGGGCCCCGACCCCTCGCCGCCCGGCATGGTCGCGGCGGCGGCGGCCTGCGAGGCGGGGGATGCGGAGGCGCCCGCGAGGCGGGAGGGGGAGGCCGGCGGCGCCCCAGGAGGCGGCGAGGCGTGCCTCCTCCTCGATCCTCCTCCTCCTCGATCCTCCTTCTCCTCCTCCTCCTGCTCGATCCTCCTCCTCGATCCTCCTCCTCGATCCTTCTCCTCGATCCTCCCTATCCTCCTCCTCGATCCTCATCCTCGATCCTCCTTCTCGATCCTCCTCCTCCTTCTCCCCTTTCCCGATGGAGCTCAGCAGCAACTGAGTGCTTTTGAACGAGTTGCTGGCCGAGCATCTTCTCACCCACAATTGCCGACTCAATCCGCTGAAGAATGTGATGGTGCTTACGTTGTTCGGCCCTGGAACGCGGGCTCGACGCCTGAAGTTTCGGGATCGCAAGCTCCCCGCTGCTGGGACGCCGAACGAACTGGCCCAGATGCTTGGCGGCATGATTTGTGCCGCCTGTGTCTTCAGTAGCGAGCTTCCTGTCATATTGGCCGCTACGGATTCAATTGGCCAGAGTATGGGCAGGTATTGGTGTCAAAGGGGCATACCCTATGTCGATAAGCGTGCCACATTTTTTCTCGAGTACTGGGCCTTGGAGTTTCTGGGCTGGGAGCATACCCGCTCATTAGCGCACGCACGAATAAACATACAAGCACGTGCGCTACACTATGCGCGACGGGCTATGATGGGCGACTGTCACGTTTGAGAACGATGGTCATCTGGTTTCTGTTCCTAAATCGTTTCTGGCAGACGGCATCTCTCGAACTGGAACTGGGGACGAGGAGGACAAAGGGGTAACAAAGGTGGGTAAGGGATTCTCATTTACACGTAGCAGGGTAGGGAGCGTTGTTCGGCAGTATGCGAGTGGAGTTTGCCAACGTACTCAGCATCGTCGTTGAGGACTCATGCCTCAGCGAGTCCGCTTGCCCATGGGCGAAAAGAGTGGTTGCAGATATCAGTTATTTTGCTGAACTGGGGGGTGATGGGCATATCATGGTACAGTTCTCCGACAGTCAGCCGCTGCATATTTTCTCTGACCTCGAGTTGATCGACTGGTTCATTCAGTTAAACCATGCAAAGATCAGCGCCTCTTTCTTGTCGGTTCGTATTCCTTTCCAGGATGGCAGGCACCTCCGCAAGGTTCCAAAACAACGAGGATGTCCCTGTCGACGGTGAATTTCTATGCCCAGTACCAGGATGCCCGAGAACCTTCCATTCTAAACGTCAGCTGCTCGTCCATCTCCGTACTTAGCACGGTCCCAAAGCTATCCTAGGCAAAGATGTGGTTCACAACCAGTGTTTCATTTGCAATTTGTCTGCTGAATCTCGCAATCCGACGTCTATGCACGTGGCCAATTCTTTCCAGACTGGCATATGCGTCGCCAACCGCAGCAGCACTTCCTCAGAACATCCCCGGGCACAACCATCGACTCTCCGTTGTGTGAGTCTTGAGTGACAGAGCCTTCTGAATTTTCACGACCTACCAGGAAACACTTCAGAACCTCGTCACTTCTACCTGCTTCCTGCGTCTGGCGGTGTCGGTAGAGACGCGCAGTCCAGCGTTGGCGCGGGGAGCCAAGCGGCGAGCGTCAGCATCGGCAGGGGAACCTGGCGGCCAGAGCCAAACTGGAGGACGCGGCGATGGAGCAGGTGCGCAGGGAGGAGCTCGAGGGCAGGGAAGAGGTGGCTTGATGGGCGCACTCCTAACCACCCTGTGCGGGCTAAGCCTCGCCAGCGCGAGGTCGGGGGCCTTGAGACGGGGTCAGTGCAAACGGGGGTCAGTCAGAGCGCTGGATCTTGCAGGATCCTTCAGGGGCAGGGGCGCACTGTCCCATGTCTGGGCGCAGGATCCTGCAGGGTCCTTCGCGTTGACCCGGGTTTGGGTGCAGAATTTGCAGGATTCTTCATGGCCGACTGACCTGGGCCTGGATTGACCCGGGTCAGAAGATCCCCGACGAGGGATCTCGCCGAGCTTGCGGGCGCTACCTTCACTTGTTTCCTGATCCCCAGGGCAGCGACTCTCGTGGCCATCGTGGGCATCGCGTTTCAGGATTATGCGGCGGACTGCAAGGAGCAGGGCAGCAAGCGCGACAACGGGTCACCATGGCCCCGCGTATTCTTGGCAGTCAAAATTCATTTCCTGGAGGGGAGAAGCAGCGACCAACCCCAGGCGGCAGCAGTCCTCGAGTACTACCACAGCCACGCCATCAAGGACGACAAGGCGGAGACCCTGCGCACGTTGACAGACCGCGTGAGGTATTGCAGGATGCGAGCGTGCTGGTTCGACAAGAAAGCAGGCAAGACGACGGCGGACATATACAAACTCCAGTATATGATGGGCCCCCTACATTCAGAGCCAGAATGCGGCAGTGGACGGAACGCTCAAGGATGGAACAGTCCCCAAAATGGAGCAGTCGAGAGGGATGCGGAGAATTTTCTTTGCAATTTCGGCATGTCTCAGGAGGGCATTCAGAAGCACCTAGCTGGGTTGGTCTCTGTTTCCAAGGCTGAGAGGATGGTTGAGCTTGCTCAGGGAGGAATCGTTCGGCACCCGCAGCTTCAGGTATTGCAGCAGCCCGCGCAAGGTCCCATCCTGTGATACAAGTCTGGTTCTTTTTTCACTCCTTCAATGTGCAGCCACTAGAGTTCACGACGGACCCTTTTCAGGCTCCCAGAAGTGCCTCGGACGTCATGATATTGGCCACTGACCTCGGTCCTCCCTCCTCGGCTGCTGATGCGCGTGCCTCGAGCGCGCTGCTTGCCCCCCCGTCAGCGCCAGTGTAGCCGGCGAGCGCTGACCATGAGGATTTTATACCGCAATGCTGCGGCCCCCTTCGCTTGTTGCTCACTCCTCCCCCTTCCCCTCTCTCGCTGCAGCTGCGTTGCGTGCACTTCCCTTCTTCTGGCCTCGCGTGGTTCTGTGTGTGTGTGTGGTGTGGTTGTGTGTTGTCCTGTTCCCGTCTCGCCCGTCCTCCCTCTGCTTTCCCTTTCCCTTGTCGTTCTGGGCTTCAGCGGTGGATTGAATCGGGGTGGGATTTTTGGCTCCACTTTCAGTGTGCGCCTGCCGTTGGGAGGATGGTGCCCGTGTGGGTCGCAAGGGTTGGTTGCCCTTCGGACGGTCTTGCTTTGGGCCAGGGTCCCCCCAGCGAGGTTGCAGGTTTGTCAGTGCCTCCATATGTTGGTGGCGCATATCCTTTTCCACGCTTGCGTGTTTTTACGTGGCGGCAAAGACGCCAGTCAGGAACCAGCGCGCTGGATCGCAGCCTTCCCTTTCCGTTCCGTTCCGTTGCTCCTGTCCTTCCTTCTTTTCTTTTTCTCCTCCTCCTCCTCTTCCTCCTCCTCCTACTCCTCCGCTTGCTCCTCCTGCTGCGCGCCGGCGGCGTCGGCGTCTCATGGGTGCTGCCCCCCCCCCGCCCCCGCCCCAGAGGCCATCATCGATGGGTGTGTGTGAAATGGGGTAGGGTACGTAGGATTATAAACGATCGGCGCGACCGAGGGCGAGGGGGGAGGGCCGACGGGGCGGCGGCGAGGGGGCCTGCGACCAGCCCGTGGCAAACCCAGGGGGGGCAGGACTGGGGGGAATTGCGGCGTCGCGGCGCGTGGCGTGCGAGGCGTGGCAAGAAGGGGTGGCATAGGCGTGGCTGCGGCCGCGCTCGCCCAAGGGTTGGAAGGCGCAAGGGCCTCTCCCCCTGCCCGCGTGGGCCCCCCCGCAAAGCGGCCCAAAGTTTCACCGGAGGGGCCCTCGCCCGCTGAGGCTGGCGAAGGGTTTCCGCGTGTGGGGCTGGTGGTTGCTTGGGGGTTGCCGCCAGGCGCGGGGGCGTTTTGCGCGTTCCGCGGCGGCGGCCGCGCGGTGGTTTGTTTCCATGCGGGCCCCCCCCCCGCGTGCGCCCCTTCCAATCAGTCCATTGGCCGCTGAGGTGGCGCAGGTGCGGCTGGCGCGGTGGAGGCGCGATAGAAGAAGGCGCCACCAATGTGAGAAGAGCGGTGTAATGGCTTGGGTGGGGCGGCGGCAGCGCCGCAGGCCGGGCTGCTGGAAGTCGGGCTCGCGGCGAGCAGAGCGGCGGCCCAGCGGTGGGTCGAGGCGGGTGAATGCAAGAATGGACCGAGATATCTAGACCTGCGTGGGGACAGGCGTCGGCATAGTGGCGATGTGCGCGCGCGAGCAGCAGGGGCGCGCTTCGCGCGGCGCTAGGTTGGCGATTCTGCCGGCCTTTGCCCCCCCAGCCATCGCCGTGGGGCCGTCGGTAGCAGTGGCCCTTTGCCCCCGCCCAATCCCGCGCCCCCCCCCGCTCCTTCCATGGGCGGCTGAGGTGGTGCATGGATGGCTGGCGCGGTGGAGGTGCGACAGGGCGGAGGAGGTGGCCGCGGCGAACGGGATGGGTCAGCGGCGGTGCTGCAGGCTGGACCGTTGCAGAGTTGGGCCCGCGGCCTGCGGGGCGGCGCCTAAACGCCGCGCGTGCCTTGCGTGGCAGGCGTTCAGGTTTTTTTGTACTTTGTTCCTTCTGGAGAGTGTTTTGCTGCGCGCGCTGGCGGGGTCCTGGTTTTGTTTCGCTAGTGCCGCGCGGACGCTGTATATTTGTATTTATATACGCTGTACACTTACTGCACTAGTATAAAGAACAACTCTTCCATATCAGTTGGCATGCGTGCGATGGTCATGTGTATTCGCAGTTGCCCTACACGTCTTGCAACCGCGGCGTTGCCTCTACTCTTGTCTCGGCGCTACTTCTACCATTGTAGGTAAGTTGTGATCGCGCTGCTGGTTCCCGTCGTAATTATTGTGCTTCTACTAGGTGAGGCCCTTCTACCATTGCTAGTTCTGCTGTTCCCGCTGCTTCTCCTGCTAGGACCGCTGGTGCTGCTGGAACTGTTCGAGCTGGCGCGTTCATTCTTAATCGTGATATTGCTACCGCTGCTGCCTCCCTTGGAATGGTAACTGTTGCAACCATTCTATTATATTACGACCGCGGCGGTGGCGGCTAGTATTGCTAATGATGTTCGCGCGAAGACGAATGTTCGTAGTTTTGCTACTTCAGTAGCATCACCACTCATACTCACGATTTGTTGTTGTGTTGTTGCAACTACCGCCATTGCGAGAGGCCGTCTTGTCAGCCCGTCGGGGCCGGGGCCGTGGGCGTGGCGCTAGGGGGTTGAACTGGCCCGCTGAGACCCCGCTCCGTTGCGATGCCCCAGGCTCTTGTAATGTCTTTGTTATGTCACTGGCCTCCTCTGCTAATGCAGCGGCCTCCTCTCTCATTGCAGCGGCTTCCTCTGGCTGCCCCGATGGCGCCCCGATTTTCGCAGGGCAGAGGTCCAATTCAGGAGTAATGTAGAGCAGGGCAGAGCAGGGTAGAGAAAAGCACCGTAGAGTTGATCAAATCATGGCAGAATTAGCGTAGCGTAGGAGAAGAAGAACGCAGGATAGAGTTGAGTCGAGCGGAGTGTAGGGTTGAGTGGTCTTGAGAAGGGTCAAATCGAGTTGGCTGCAACGGAAAACAGCATATCCGAGTAAAGCAGCGCAGGGTCGATGGAAGAGCAACGATGGGTGACGTGGGGCAGCGCAGGGTGCAGTGGAGAGGGTAGAGAAGTGCCGAGTAGAGTAGACGCCTGATCCCCAGTTGCCTGCTCGCAAATCACCCGAAACCCCTTAGTGGCGCACCAGAGGCCCCCCGACGGCCGCCCAGAGGCGCCCTGAGGGCCCCGCGGACCTTCCCTGCTGGATTCCGCCAGGCCCTGCGCGGCCCCGAGACGAGGGGGCCCCTCCCTTGCGAGCCCCGCAGGGGGTCCAGGCTGGTCCGCCGCTAGTTGAGTGGGGGGGCTCTGAGGGAGGGCCCGGACCGGCCCGCCCACGAGCCGCCCAGGGGCGGCCCATCTGTTCGCGCCCGCAGCGCCGCCCGTCGGCGCCCCGCTGAGCGACGCACTGAGTTGGCGCATCGGGGGGAAGGGTGCCCAGCATTAATTTCGGCGGAGCGCGCCGCCTGATGCGAGTATCAAAACAGTCGGGATTCATTCGAAAGTCAAGTGGACGTAGCGTGTGTATCAAATGTAGAATCAACAATTCGTGCGTTGTTCAGTGCGTTCTCAACGCGGGCCCCCTCTCCTGCCAGGCTGGCGATTAGTGCGCGAGTAGTGCGGGATTACTGCGCGCTTAGTGCGAGACTATTGCGCGATTAGTGCGCGATTAGTGCGTGATCGGCGCGCAAGTGGCGCGCGATAGTCGCGCGATTTGTGGGCGATTATCGCGCGATCAGCGCGCGACTAGCGTGGCAGTTTCGTGCGATCAGTAAAAAATTTTGCGCGCGAGTAATGCGCACATAATGCGTGATTGCTGCGGGATGATAGTGGCGCGTTTTTTTGTTTCCTCCTCCGGGGCTGGATGCGCCTGATCTACGTGCCTCTCGCGAGCGATTCGGAGGCAATGTCTAAGCCGATCGCGTGGTTCAGAAATTGCGTGCTCTCGTTATAGGCGGCGATGTGGTCTGGCGCGTATTGGAAGCAGTCGCAGGGGCCAGAGTAAATCCAGATGTCGTAGAGATATCGGTCCCCGTGATCCCTGGCCAGCTGATTGGCGCCGTCCAAGGTCACTTGGAATATGAATTGCCGCGCTGGCGCGGGAAAGGCCATCGACCGCGCCGCTACGTTCGCGGCGCGAGCGTCGCCCAGAGACTGGTCGTTGGCCTTCGGTTCGCATGCGCGCGCCCAATAGCCGCCGGGCTGGAAGGCGCGAGGGTCTTATCCGTAAGGGCTTCGCCCCCTGCTGCCGGCCCCCTCTCTCGGAGCATGCGCTATGCAAGAGCTATGTCATGAGGCCTGGGCGCTGTCGTGAAGCAGTATCGGAACTACATGCGAGGCCGACTCGTAATGAGCAAAACCAATACCAGAGGTTTTACCACACCTGGCGCTTGGTAAGACGTCGTGACCCCGCCGATCTGCGTGAGGGGTGTCCCCGAATTTCAGAAATGTGGCAAATCCCATGTGTTTTTGGATCCTGGCCCCGGCCGATCTGCGTGAGGGGTGTCAGCAAATTTCAGAGATGTGGCGCATCCCCTGTGTTTTTGGACCCTGACCCCGCCGATCTGCGTGAGCGGTGTCACTGAATTTCAAACATGTGGCAAATCCGGTGTGTTTTTGGACCCCGACCCCGCCGATCTGCGTGAGGGGTGTCGCCGGATTTGAGGAATGTGGCCAATCCGGTGTGTTTTTGGACCCTGACCCCGCCGATCTGAGTGAGGGGCGCCACCGAAATTTAGAAATGTGGCAAATCCTTTGTGTTTTTGGACCCTGATCCCGCCGATGTGTGTGAGGGGTGCCACTGAATTTCAGGAATGTAGCAAATCCTTTTTGTTTTTTTCACCCTGACCCCGGCCGATCTGCCTGAGGGGTGCCACCGAATTTCAGAAATATAGTAAATCCCGTGTGTTTTTGGACCCTGACCCCGCCGATCTGCGTGAGGGGTGCCACCGGATTTGAGCAATGTGGCGCATCCCCTGTGTTTTTGGATCCTGACTTCGGCCGATCTGCGTGAGGGTTGTCAGCAAATTTCAGAGATGTGGCGCATCCCCTGTGTTTTTGGACCCTGACCCCGCCGATGTGCGTGAGGGGTGCCACCAGATTTGAGAAATGTGGCAAATGCGGTGTGTTTTTGGACCATGACCCTGGCGATCTGCGTGAGGGGTGCCACCGAAATTTAGAAATGTGGCAACTCCTTTGTGTTTTTGGACCCTGACCCCGCCGATCTGCGCGAGGGGTGCAACCGGATTTCAGAAATGTGGTAAATCCCTTTTGTTTTTTCACCCTGACCCCGCCGATCTGCGTGAGGGGTGCCGCCGAATTTCAGAAATGTAGTGAATCCTTTGTGCTTTTGGACCCTGACCCCGCCGATCTGCGTGAGGGGTGCCACTGAATTTTGAAATGTGGCAGATCCGGTGTGTTTTTGGACCCTGACCCCCCCGATCTGCGTGAGGGGTGTCAATTTTTATCCCCGCAGAAATTTTGAGAACCCTCCCAGGGCGTAGTAAAAATGCCCGTTTTGGGTCTCCCCCCTCGCGCGGTCCATCAACTAGGAATAGTAAGCAGCAAGAAATCAACAAGGAACAGTAAGCAGCAAGACGCAGAACTGTAACCGTGGAAAGTGGAAGCTGCAACTGGTACAGGAAACTGCGAACCTTCGGCCTACAGCCTGGGGGCCCCACAAGGGGGCCGGCGGATATGCCACCCTCGTTCCATGCCCTCTCCTCTCTGTGCTCGTGCAGCTTCTCCTCGATATTGGCCAATTCGTGGCCCGGGAGCTCGCTACCTCGCGGCTGCCCAGCAGGGGCGCCGCGCCGGCCGCTGGCCGACGACCCCCCCAAACCCTTCCGCTTCTCCAGTGGGAAGACTTCTTGGCGGGGTCGCGATAGCTGGCCTCGCGGGGGCCGCAGAGACTGGCTGCTATTCGCGGTCCGCTCTTCGGGCCATGGCGATAATTGTTAATGGGGAATTGTATTCGTTTGTGCTTTGACTTTCCTCGCAGCGCATGCGTTCAGCGCTGGGGTCTCGCTTTTGTGCCTCGGCGCATCTTCCGAGTCGCGCGCGTCGCGCGCGGGGGGCGCCTGGGCGAGTGCCTTGCTCGGTCGCGCTCAGGGCGACGTTCGCATTGGCGCCCAGCTTGTCAGGGCGGGTGCCCGCTTTGCCATGGCCGAGCGCCTGCGTTCCGTCATGTGGGTCCACCGACGAAAGTTGTCGTGCCTGCTTTTCACGGCGGGGTGCGAGTGGCTTGATGTGTAGATTATGGTATGTGCTTTCGTTTTTTTTTTTTGGCTGCGCCAATGGGCTTGTTGTTGGGGCCCCGGGGCCCTGCTGCATGCGCGCCGCGCGGGGCCCCGTGGAATCGCGGTGAGAGTTGCCCTCGCGCGACGACCGGGGCCGCGCGTCGGCCCCCGCCTGCTCGAGCGAAGAAGTTCGTGCATGTTGCCACTCACCGCTTAGTTCCAGTCAGTGCAGTGAGGGGGCTTGCCAGGAAGTGGTTCCCGTGATAAACGTTGGCATTGGGTAAGTAAGCGCGCAGTGTGACGAGAGAGCTGAAACAGTGAATGCAGGCGTCGGCTGCAGTTGCGAAGCGCGCGGGTGTAGTGCAGGGGCGCACGGCGTGTCTCCTCCTTCTCTTTCTCCTCCTCCTTCTCTTTCTGCTCCTCCTCCTTCTTTCTCCATCCTCTTTTACCCCTCCTTCGCCGCTGCTGTTTTCCCCTTCTTCCTCTTCTCCCCGGAGGCGTCAATGATCAGAGGAGGAAGAGAAGTGTGCCAATGCCGCGAGCCTTCCTTCATTTAATTCTTTAAAGGCTTCTTTGACGGCCCGATTCGCCGCTAAATCCTGGTCAGAGCGCACCTTGGCAGGTCTGGGGAGTGCTGGTTCGGCGGCGCGCCCAGGGGGAAAAACGTTGAGGGGGCGGGCCTTCTCAGAAGGCTCAGCATGCCCGCGGTCTCCTGGGAAGCTGTCTAGGCCTTCGCCGAAGCCCCGGAGGGCTTCTTAGAAGGCCAGATGGCTTACGAATAGCCCCGCCGCCCTTTGAGAAGGCTTGCCCCCTACCATGTTCCCCCTTCGGAGCGCCGCCGATCCCCCGTTCGGGGGCGTCGAAGGGGTGGGAGGGAGAGCGAAAAGTAAGGAGCGACCCTTTGCCCGAATGATCCTCGGTGCGTGGCTTTCGGGGGGCGCGAGGGGTCAAACCCAGGCGCCTGGGGTGCCGCTGTCGCATCGTACGCAGTGATCGGCAAGCAACGGATCGAAGGTCACTCTTGCCTACGCTCACTTCTGCATGTGGCCGACATGTACGGTCAAGACGCTGAAATATGAGCCTCGCTTTGGTTTTAGGAGGGGTCCTGGCCGTTCCTCATATCGAGGTCGAGGAGCGCGTCCGTGGCCGAGGCTCGCCGTGGCCAGAGAAGCCCCTCTCGTTCCTTCTATTCCATTCCCTCATGGTGGCACGATGGCTGAGTCGTGGCCCCATTTAGCATTTGGGGAGGCCCCCCTCGCCAGGGCGAGGCGAAGAAGAGCCCCTTCGCCATGGCGCTCCTGCACATCAAGTGGGCCTCCTTCCTGCAGAGGGCGGGGCAGTTCGACCGCGCAGTGGAGCACTTCACCAAGTCGTCGGAGTTCCACCCCAACGCGCGGGCATACTTCGGCCTCGGCACGTGTCTTGCGGCGCTGCGGCGGCGACAGGAGGCCGCGGATGCGCTGGCACGAGCCGTGGAGCTGAGCCCGAAGATGGTGGCGGCGCGCGTGAATCTCGCGGGGGTGCTCATCTCGCTGCAGCGCTTCGAGGACTGGAGGAGGAAGAGGTACAGACACCGCTACGGTGTCCTCATGCTCGCTTTGTTGGGCCTCCTGGGAGGCCCTCGTCGCCACGACTGCATTCGCCTTGAAATCCTGGTCAGAGCGCACCCTGGGAGAGAACCTCTGCAGTACTGGCTCAGCGGCGCGCCCAGGGGTGAAGGCTCAGAAGGCCTGTGGCCTTCTGAGAAGCTGTCTGGGCCTTCGCCGAGACCCCGGAGGGCTTCTCCGAAAACCAGCGCGGTGGCGGTCTCCAGACACGCTGGTTTCCCTGCAGGAGGGGGCGGCGCACTGCCGGGTCGCCCTGCAGCGCGAGCCGCACGGCCGCGAGGCGGTGATGAACCTGGCCAATGCGCTGCGGAACCTCGGGCGCAGGTCCGAGGCCATCGAGCTCGTGTGGGAGCACATTCCGAAGGGCAAAAGCATCGGCACGAACACGAACTCGGGGGACCGCGCGGACTTCCCGGATCTGCGCTGGGCGCCTTCTGGCGGGGCCTTCGGCGCCGCCAGCGAGGGGGGCCCAGTGCCGATCCAAGAAGTCCGCGCGGACCTCTGAAAGTCTATGCCTGTGTGCGCCGACGTTTGTTCTTCTGACATCCGCGGTGCCGAGGCGGACGCAGCCGCGGACGTTGACGCCGCCGCCGCCGTGGAACCCTCCGGCGTGCAGACGTCAGGCGCAGCGCCCGCCGCGGCGGGCGGCCCGGCGGCAGCGGGGCAGCCCGTGGGCGGCCAGAGGGCCGCGGTGCGCTGCAGCGACTGGCGGGGCTGCCGAGACGCGCCGCTGCCCCTCGCCGTGGTGTGCGTCAAGTGGGGCAGGCGGTACGGCGCTGAGTACGTGAACCGCCTGCACGCCGGGGTGCGTAGGCACCTGCCGGCCGAGCGGGCGGAGGCCTCCTTCCTCTGCTTCACCGACGACCCCTCCGGCCTGGACGAGGGCATCCGGGCAATGCCCCTGCCCGAGGGCCTGCCGCTGTGGTGGGGCAAGGCGCACCTCTTCAGCGAGGAGGCGGGGCTGGACGGCCACCGGGTGCTCTACCTGGACCTGGACCAGGTCAGTATCGCTGAACCGAGCCCCATCCCCTTCAGCCATGGTATCTGAGCCCCACCGTCCACCCCCCCAGGTGGGGATGGCAGGTCCCGCGAAACCCTCAGGGAAACCCCACCTGGGGGGTGTACGTCGGCCAGTTGGGCAACGGCCACGCCACTTAAACGATGCTCATCAGGTGATCGTGGGGAGCCTCGCGCCCCTGGTCAGTTACGAAGGGCCTTTTGCGCTGCTCAGCACGGACGGGATCGCCTGCGAGCTGGCCGGCGGAGGCTACAACTCGTCCGTCGTCTCCTGGGAGGCCTCCCCCTTCTTCCGCGCCATCTCCGCGGGGCTCTCCGAGGCGGTTCTGAGATTCGTGCACCGCTTCGACCACTGGCTCGAGATGAGCGTCGAGGGTGCGGACCTCTGGCAGCTGCTCCAGCCGGGCTGCGTCGTGGATTACACCGCCGTGTTTCGGGGCGGCGTCTGTCTCGGCTCCGGGGAGGATGAGGAGGTCGAGTCGCAGCCGCCGGCCAGGGGCGAGGGCGAGCAGGAGGAGGGAGCGGAGAGTGCGGTCGCCGCACCGCATTGCGCCCCGAGGGAGCCGCCGCAGAGTGCGGCTGTAGTCACGTTTCCGCGGAACCCGAAGCCGCACGACGTGGCAGAGCGGCACGACTGGGTGAGGCTCCACTGGATCGGGCATGCGGGATAGCGTGGGCGGCTCGTTCCTGCCTCCTCCTCTCTCCTCCAGTTTTGCTCCCTCCTCCTTCTTGGCGCAACGGGGAGGAGGAGGAGGAGGAGGAGGAGGAGGAGGAGGAGGAGGAGGAGGAGGAGGAGGAGGAGGAGGAGGGAGGGAGGAGGAGGAGGAGGAGGAGGAGGAGGAGGAGGAGGAGGAGGAGGAGGAGGAGGAGGAGGAGGAGGAGGAGGAGGAGGAGCAGCGGAGCAGCAGCATCAGCAGCATCAGCAGCAGCAGGGGAAACCGATTCATCTGTATCTCAGGAAGTAGTGCACATAGACACCCATGTCCTGCCACCCAGACCTCCGACGTTGTGTTTTTTTCACAGCGTGGCTCCCACGAGCTCTGGACCCCTTCCTGGGGATCGCCAACAGCCTACCTTCGTGATTTTGTTCACTCACGGCGCGATGGGGTCAGGGCCCGTCAAGGACGTCCACATCCAATGATTCCTGAGGTCCCGAGAGCCACGGGAGGGAAAAGCATCCCGACCCCCATACTTGGCGTTCACTAAACAACCTTGGGCGCTGTTGTCTCCCTTAGGCACGGTAATTCAAAGTCTTCGCTTACTGGGCTGCTTATTTTGAGGGTGGCTTTTGTGGGGGTACTGAGGCCCTTGGCAGGGGGGCTGATGGGTTTCTCGGAGGGCGGTGTCTGTGGGTCTTCTCTTGTCTTAAGTCTTGGGAGAAGTCGAGTCGCTTGTTTTCGGTGTACTTTTTCGGCGTCCACGGAGACTCACTTCCCGGTCGGGTGGCCGACAGGAACCGATCAGGGATGAAGAAATTGCCCTGGTGAAGGCTCTGACAGCTCCGCGTCGAGTAAAATTCACGACAGACGATTTTTGGGGGCATTTTCGGCCTCGGGAGGTGGGCTCGCCGGGCTGCAGGACTGGACCGTCAAAGATAGACTCAGGATGCGAAGCCAAGCCCAGGAGAAGGGGTCCAGACCTCTGGGGGGCCACGCTGTGAAACAGCACGACGTCGGAGGTCTGTGACAATGATGATGATGATGATGATGATGATGATGATGATGATGATGATGATGATGATGATGCTGATGCTGATGCTGATGCTGATGCTGCTGATGCTGATGATGCTGATGATGCTGATGCTGATGCCTGATGATGATGATGATGATGATGATGGTGATGATGATGAGGATGATGATGATGCTGCTGATGATGATGATGTTGACGATGATGATGATGATGCTGATGCTGATGATGATGATGCTGATGCTGATGCTGATGCTGATGATGCTGATGATGCTGATGATGCTGATGATGACGGTGATGGTGATGATGATGATGATGATGCTGGTGGTATAGATGATGATGATGATGATGATGATGATGCTGATGATGATGATGATGATGATGGTGATGATGATGATGATGGTGATGATGATGATGATGATGATGGTGCGGCTGCTGCTGTTGAGGATGATAAGGATGAGGATGATAATGATGACGATGACGACGATGATGACGACGATGATGATCATTAATGCTGCTGCTGATGGTGATGATGCTGATGCTGCTGATCATGCTTTTGATGATGATGGCGATGGTGTTGTTGTTATGGTTGTTGTTGTTGTTGTTGTTGTTTTCGTTTTTGTGGTTGATGCTGAGGATGATGACGTTGATGATGGTGATGCTGATGATGATCCTGATGGTGATGGTGATGATGATGGTGCGGCTGTTGCTGCTGATGAGGAGGATGATAATGTGGACTCTGATGATGACGATCATGTGCTGATGATGATGCTGATGATGATGATGATGCTGCTGCTGTTGATGAAGATGCTGCTGATGATGATGAGGATGATGACTAGGATGATGATGATGATGATGATGATGATGATGATGTTGTTGTTGATGTTGTTGATGATGATGATGATGATGATGACGATGATGATGAGTGCTGCTGCTGCTGATGTTGATTATGATGATAATGGTGGTGATACTGATACTGCTGCTGATGATGGTGCTGATGAGGAGGTTGTTGTTGTTGTGGTTGTTGTTGTCGTTGTTGTTGTTGTCGTTGTTGTTGTTGTTGACGAGGTTGTTGTTGCGGTTGCTGCTGTTGTTTTTGTTGTTGTGGTTGTTGTTGCTGTTGCTGCTGTTGTTGTTGTCATCGTTTTTGATGTTGCTGTGGTTTTTGTTGTTGTTGTTGTTGTTGTTGTTGTTGTTGTTGTCGTCCGTTGTCGTCGTCGTCGTTATCGTCGTTGTCGTTGATGTTGTTGTGGTTGTTGCCGTTGATGAGGATGATGACGATGATGACTGTGATGTTTACACGTTTTCGTACCAGGTTTGGGGGGACACGGCCTAGGAGAGATTACGTCCCGTCGGGATGGTGGGACCTGTCACTGCAGCCGCGCCTCTCGCGAGCGCTCTGGTGTCATTCGGCGCAGCCGACGTGCAAGCGGAATCCCCTCTCTCTACCGGGCTGTAGTAGTAGACGCGGGAGGGGAGGCAGGGAACGTGCGGCGCGACAGAGAGAGGGGCATGCAACCGTAGCCTCCGGCTCAAGCGAGCCCAGCAGCAGAGGCACAACGAAACCCACCCCCATTCCCAACAGACCCTTCACTGGGCACTTCTAAGCGGGCCCGAGGGACGGGATCGGGGAAAAGACAAACCTGCCCTCCGCTTTCGTCTGGCGGCCAGCTAAAGGCAGCCGCGGCGGAAAACGAGGGGGGCAAACGAAAACCCGCACCAACGCGCACCGCTAAGCGGGCGTGAGGGACGCGGTTCGGCGTTGCTGTTGCCGCACCCTCGTCCCCGTCCCGTGGCCCTACGGCCGCGGCGGGAGGCGGTAGGAACAAGAAGGTGTCTTCAGTGGAGAACCCGCACCCCGTCGT